GCTTTTTGCTCGAATACTGGCGACTTTGAAGCGTCAGATGTGCATTCTTATGGAGTCTGGACTGAGAACAGACGTGCATGCTCCAGGATTCGAACTGAAGACCTTTCATTTTCCAACATTCACCTGCACAATGTGGCAATTCAAGGCACCGAGATTCACTTTTATGGCATCAGCGAGGCTCGGTGGCGGCCGACCTTGGAGAGCAGGCTTGTGCCGTACCGGCATTTGGTGGAATGGGGAGAGAAACAAAGTCCTAACTGGACATTAGTGTTCCACAACAGCACACTTGATGTTAAACGGAGCTGCCAGCAGCAGGTTGATGCTCCTACAGGTGAGTTTAAAAGGATCCTACCAAACCGCCTTCTCTTTCCTTCCCTTGACTTGTCCCCACCCCCCTTCCCCTCCGTGCTTCTCTTTAGCCTGTAACGCACCCCTCTCTCCCTCGTGACCCTTACTTGTTGCTGTCCTCTTCATGCCTCCCTGCCTGTGGCTTCACCTCCTTCCCTCCCCTCCCGCCTGCTTCATTCCCCCCACGAGCGCCAGAGCAGTGGTGGTGAGTCTGTGGCACGTGGACAACGCCTTCCACGCACTCAACAACAACCTGCTCCCTGCCATGCTCCACCTCCTGGAGATGGGCGCGCTTCCTCCCCGCATGCCCGTACCGCCACGCACTGATTCTGCCTCTGACCGACCGAGTGCAGCTGGTGAGAGCAGTGGCGAAGGAGGGAGTGACAGTTGGAACCGCAGCAGCAGTGGCAGTGGCAGGGAGGGTGGCTTTATCACTGGTGCCACTTACAGTGATGCGAGAAGCAGTGGCAGTGCGCGGAGCAGAAAAGGTCTGACTGGCCGGCGTGGGTCGTCTTCTTTTGCTGCATCCACTGATCGCTTCTTACAGCGCGTGCAAGAGAGGCTAGTGGAAACCATGGAGAGACACACAAGTAGCGGAGCAGGCCGTGAAAGATCACATGGAGGTGGCAGCGTAGGTGGGTTCCACTCAGTGGGGCAGGATAGGGGAGTCAGCGGATTGGGTTTACTGGAGGGGAGGGAAGGGGCGGAATGGGGGCAGGGCGAGGAGGAAGGGCTGCGAGTGTGCATGCTGTTCTACCTTGGGGATGAGCGGCTCAACCAGTATCCCACATCAGCCGTGGCGATTCTATGGAGATTATTCCACTGCAGGATTCGGCTCAGCGATACCCATGGTTTAAGTCGGCGAATCTGCTTCCACCACCTGGCGTACGGCCAGCGTGCAGCCTTCCCTTTTTACAACAGCTCCTCCTCTCTCCCTGGCTTTGATCAGTTCCCGGCTGTAATTGCAGCCTATCGCTCCCTCGCCTTCTCCCTCTTCAACATTTTTCCAGCTGCCCGAGCTGTGGTTTTGGGCCCTCACAGCCAATCGGAAGCTAGCGATGGTGCCCCGAGAAGGACCTTGGAGCTTCCGGCTGTTGGACCCTTGACGGCCGAGAGTGGCAACTTCGCGGTTCAAGGACCAGACTCTGCATCAGCGTGGATAAAGGGACGAAGAGCAGCGAGCGCTGGACGAGTGGAAGGGAGTTCGGGCAGTGATGAATCATCAGCGGTGGCAGATGTAGGGGGGCTCGGTGGACCACACATGTCAGACCTGCAGCGGCGGCGGCAGCAGCAGCAGCAGCAACAGCAGCAGCACCATGCCTCTCTGCCTGTCCCAGGCATATACTCGAGCGGCCCGATCGTGGTCTACGTCCCCCGGAGCTCAGCTTTCGGCGACGATCGCTATGTTACGTTCATCAATCCCTGGATCGAAGCCATGGGTCGGAATGGCTTTCATTGTGTCGTGCCCTGCTGTGACTTCGCACACGAACCGATTGAGAAACACTTGGCCCTTTTCTCCGTGGCTCATATAATGGTGGGTTTGCATGGAGCAGGGCTCACAAACGCCTTATACATGTCTCCGGGGCGGCTTTTAGTGGAGTGGCAGGATGAGTTTGCGTTGGGCACTGGGGGTAAGGATCGGGAGCTGTTGTTTTACTGGGTGGCCAAGCATTCAGGTTTGGGGTATTTGGTGGAAGATGTGAGGCCACTGCATGTGACTGGGCACGGCATTGTGATGAATAGGGAATGGGCAACCCGTTCTGCTGCACGTATTGCAGAAGAATGGCGTACTCAGATGTTGGATACATGAGGCGAAGAATTGGCGGTGTTGGTTGTCGATATGGTATCACTCCATTCGTTGCTGCAAAATTCAAGGCAACCTACACTGTTGTGCCTTACACCAAAACGATTTCAGGCAAAAAAAAAAAAAACAACGACGACGACGACGACGACGACAAATCCTGAAGAGATTAAATTTCTGTGCTTCACCAAATTTCTTATCAGTCAACCCACCCTTCAGCATTGTTATGCTCACTCAACCCTCCATTGTTGCATTTGCTCTGTTCTTGCTTTTCCTTTGCAGTCGTTTCTCTGTGCAATGTTCTCCTTCTGGATGTAAGCTGATGCTTCCATACAGCGTATAGAGATTAGATACAATAGAATCGCAAACTCCAACGCACCGTATCTTCACGGCTCGCTAACGTATCCTTCATGGCACTGCTGGCTGTGCTGTTTCTGTCGTCTTGTGTTCCAAGTATTTCGCCCTCTGCCCGCACCACAAAATATTCGGTGTGTTGGTGGCGTGAAATTCCATCATTCCTCTGACAACCGTAATGTTCCGCTTCCTTCCAGCTCGCCTCCGAAAAGCACGTGTTGGAAAAGAATAATTTCTGCGATGCTGACAGGCTGTAGAATCACATTCGATTCTCCGCTTTCTTATTGGTGAAATTTGCTGAGGCAGGGGATCACATCATGAACAGTGCAGGATGTCCAACAATGGGATGAGAGCCTTACAATTGCGTCCAATGGAATAAGCCGTAATCTGGCTTTCTGTTTGCCAGCAAGGTGCGTTGCTGGAAGGCGATCGAGTCCTCGGCCACATAAAAAGTGGATTGGTTCCGCCTGGAGTTTCTTCTTTCTGCCCCAAGCTAACGTATGGATGGATACCGTTGCTGAGCTGACATCGTACGCTTCATCTCCCTCGCAACAATCACGAAAATCCTTGTCGGTGTAGCCGTGCCCGCCGAAGATATCTTCTGACAAAAGGCGAGGCGAATGCTATGCGCGCTTCTCCCATTGGTTTGCCCAGCGCACAAATCCCGCACTGAAGTCCTGACCATCGAAATTACACTGCACCACCAAGGGACCATGCTGTCATAGCCACAGGCTAGGTTCAGTTGCGGGCGGGTGCTTACCGGCTGGTTGGCTGGCTAGATGCTACACCCTGTTTCGCGCTAGCAGAGCATCTGGTTGCAGAACATGCTTTGGTTGTAGAACGTCACCACGTTTGAAATGGTCTTATCACCGACGGTACAAGCACATTCACAAGAAAGCGGTTAGCTAGGATGCTGCATGGTAAAGAACATTAACCAAGCGTTTTAAAGCGGTTGAAAAGGGTATACAGCGATAAAGAAAAATTTTGCCCCCAGTACCACTCCGTCAGCTGGTGCGGCTTTGCCCGCAGGTTTCAGCCATACGGTTTATGGCACCTGACCGCACTGTAGCAGCGAATCGCGCAAGGTGAGAGGGTCGAGAAACAGGGTGTATTCCTCTGCCCTCCTCCTAGGGTTTCATGCAAGCTCCCGCAGCTCTGGCATTCCCCGCGCTTCCCCCCCATGTTCCGCCATTCCCGTCTCTTCCTGGACCTTCCCCTCCCATTCCCCTTTCCCCATGCTTTCCGTTCCCCCTCTCCGCCTCGATGCTCCGCGGACGGAGTTTTTTCCCACCAAGGCTCTGCGCGAACTCACTCTCATCCCATCCCCCCTCCATCTGCCGCTGCTCCTTGCACAGCCCTTCCCTTCCCCGCAAGCCCACTCTCGTCTGCTGACCTATCCAACCAACGACTCCTCTTCCATTCCGAACCCTTCTAACTGACCACCACAGTAACGACGGCTCCCCTTTCTCTAGCGTTAGACCACCCTCAGATTTTTCATCCAAGAATCCTTGTTTGTTCGTGTTGAAGCGTTAGGGAGGCACCTAAGAGTAGAGCATCTGAAATAGCTCCCTTGCGTCTATGTTGAAATCCATTTTTTGCTGACTACGTTTCAATAATACCTGCAGTCATGTTTCAAGCGCACTGCAGCAGCGGCAGTGGCGGCAGTCGCGCAGGGATTTGGATTTCCGGACACGATTCGTTTAAATCCTCGTCTCAGTCCGCCTCGCCCCTGCATAGAACAAACCCTGCCGGATTCGACTGGGAAAATTTCTGGCGCGACTCTCGGCATCCTCTAGGTTACCAGCCGTGCGCGGCTGAAGCGTTTCGCGCTAGGTCGCAGTCGCCAGCCGACGATGAAAAAACCGTCGCAGACGTCGCTAGGCCCGTGTGCGCGTATCAAGGCTCTGGGACGATTCTCTGGAGCGCTTTCGCGAATGTCGCTAAAGGTTGCGAACCCGAAAAGGATGCGCAGCGTGACGTGACGATAGGAGTCGTGCGTGAGCGAGAAGGGGTCGTCCCTTGCGACGCTAGCCGTGGTAGTAAGGAGCGGGTCGCTTTATCGAGACACTCATCTGAACCGGCCGCTGACGATATGTTTTCTGTACGCGGGAAGGCTCTCGGGTGTGGTTTTGACGAGACTTACCTGACAGCAGTACAGAAGAGGTGTTTAGCTGCTGGCGACGAGCATGACTCGTTGTTCGATAAGACTAGGGATTTCGCATCGTTTCTCGGAGGAGGTGTGAAGTCATCCGGTGTTAGGGTGCGGTCCGGGGGAGTGAGAGTGCTAGTCGGAGGCGGAGATGACGTGGCAATGGCGGTAGCGGGGGAAGTGGAGGGGGAAGCGGAGGCGGAGTTGTTCCCGTGTGGCGCTGAGCATGCGAGCATTGGGGGGCTTGCGGGGGGTCGAAGTGCGAGCCAGCGACGAGAATCTGGTGGTAACAATGGCGCCTGGCGAAACGGAGTTGATGCTTCGCATCGGGACGAGATGTGGGCCGACATGCTCTTGCAGGAACTCGAGCAAGCCTCTGCCAACCAGAAGGTTACTTTGTCGGTCGGCGGCAAGTCGAACGGCGAGAGCGAGACGCGCCGTCAATCGACTGAAGCGGCGTCTCGAGAAGCGCAGTCCCCGACGCGCGACGGTCCTGGAACTTTAGGGTTGGGCGAAAGCATCAGCGGAAGCGGGCGGAAGAGAGAGCAGGCGGAGCGGAGTCCGCTTGACGGCTTGCAGTTGGGGGCCGGGGGAGGAGGTTGCGGCGGTCAGGGATTTTCGTTTTCCCCTGTCGGCAATCCCGAGGGTCATCAGAAGCGGCAGGAGACGAATCCTGGGGGATGCGCAGATGGAGTGACTACGCACAATGTGACTAAAGGCGTGGGCAGTCGAGGAGACGGTCAGTACGTCGGGAGGAGTTCACTCGGAGGGGAGGATGCTAGGGGTGTGATTGAAACGAGACTGCTAGGATTCGTGCGGGAGGAGAAAGAGAAGGAACCGTCGAAGGGCGATGAGCGCGAGAGTGAGCGGGAGGGAGGCGAGGCGGCACGGGACGGGGTTAGGAGGGGAAGAGAGGGAGGATGGGAGGGGTGGGAGAAGCTCGTGGGGTCAGGAAATAAGATTTCCGCGCACGATCAGCAACAGCAGCCGCATCGGGATTTTGAGACGTCTCCGAACGACAAGGAGCAGCAGCAGCAGCAGCCGCCACCATCGCAGAACGTATTTGGCGGCGACGCGCATCGGCCTGTGGAGTATCGAGTCACGGCGTGCGAGGAGGGGCGCCGCCCGCCCGCGTGGAAGCCGGCGGGTTCCGCGGGGCACTTAAAGCCCGACGACGACCTCACTCTTAAAGCGTTCCTCAAGGGCGGCAAAAGGCGCCACGGGGGGAGTGCGGTGCGCGGCGCGCAGACGTGGCAGGCGGACAAGATTGCGGACGCGTGGCGGGTGGCGGAGGGGCTTGCGGAGATGGAGCGCGTGCGGCGGGAGCAGGCGGGTCGGGGCGCGCATCCCCCTTCCGGTTCTGCAAATGCCCCGCGCGTTATCACTACTGCGACGGCTGTAACCGCCACACCGGCAGCGGCTGGTGCCATTCAGCGTTTTCCATCTGCGGACGGCCACGCCGCCGACTTCTCCCCTTACGCCAGTGGAGGCGCCGCCGTGAAGGCCAATGGCGCGCCAGGGGGTGGGATCGCCCGGAGCGACAGCGCGCGGAAGGGCAAAGCGGCGGTTGCGGACGAGCCTTGCGGGTTTGACCGGTGCGCCAGCAGCGATTGCACGGGCGGATCGTCGCAGGGGGAGAGCTCAAGGTCGCGCGGAGGGGGAAGGGCGCGCAGAGAGGGTAAGAGGCGCAAGGGTTCGCGCTTGTCGGGCGGAGGGGAGCGGAAGGGGAAGGTGAAGGCTGCTGGTGCTGCTGCAGGTGATGCTGCTATTGGTGTTGACGTTACTGCTCCGACCGATTTGAGCATTGGGGGGAAGGCGTCCGCGCCAGGCGCTAAAAGCGGAGGGGGGAGGGAGAAGCGCGGAGTAGATGCGCGCGCTGACGTGGCAGGAAAGGTCGCGGCGCAGCAGAGCGAGAAGGCGAAGCAGATGGAGCGGAACCTCAAGGTAGCTTCCGCGCAGCTTCTCACCCTGCAGAAATGGGACGAGGGATCAAGAGACCTAGCAGTGCGATGGGCTGTATGGCTCTTGAGGCTCATCCGCAAATCCGCCCCCACGCCCCCCCCGCCCTCTATCCGCCTCCTCCTCTTCTCTTCCATCCTCATGACTCTCCCTCGGATAGCCGACTCTCTCCTCCCCCTCACCTCCCTCCCGGGCCTCGCCTTCTCTCCAGTGTCAGCCTCGGCAGCAGGCTCGGTGAAAGGCTCGGCAGGAGGTTCGGTGGCCGAGGCGGTGAGGCAGATGCTGCGGAGCGTGTGTGCGCTGGTGGGGGCGGTGGAGAGGAGTCAGGTGTGCTTCTCCCCCCTGCACTGGGAGATTCTACAGGAGCCGTTGGATCGGTGCAGATCGCTCCATGCCTCTGTTTCTAGAGCTACTGCTCATGCCAAGCCCACACCCAGCACCACTGCTGCTGCTGCGACGGCGGCGGCAGCGGCGGCGGTGCCTGCTACAGCTGTGAAACCTGCTGCTGCTGTTGATGTTTCCACTGCTCCTGCAGCCGCTACAGCTGCAACAGCATCAGAAGCTGCTGGCACCATGGCTCCTGAGGCTGTTCAGCAGAGTGCCAAGCAGGGGCTCAAAAGGGGCCGGAGTGACACCTTCACCCATTTCCCCGTTGACTCTTCTCCTCCGGTTACTGCTGCTGCTGCTGCTTGTGGTGGTAGTGTTGCTGCGGCTGCTGATGCTGCTCCTTCTCCCGCTGTCGCTGCTGCCATCGCTGCGCCAATCACTGCAGCAGGCGCGGACACGGCGGTGAGTGAGCCTGCAAAGCGCGCCAAGGGGGATCACTGTGCGGCCAGGCAAGAGGCACCCATGGCAGCGTCGCAACAGCAGTGTGCAGCAGCAGGTGGAGTGCCAGAACTAGTGGGCGCAGCCCTGCCTGCAGCAGCAATACTGCCAGCAGCAGCAATACTGCCAGCAGCAGCAATACTGCCAGCAGCAACAGCAGCAGCAACAGCAGTGCCGCCGCCAGTGGCAGCAGCAGCAGCAGCAGTGGTGGTTGAGGCTGCGAGCCCGCGTGTGCAGTCGTCTCCATTGTTCCGCAAGGGACTGTTGAGCTTTAAGTCGTGGGCTGCAAAGAAAACACGAAGAGCAGAGGAGCAGGGAGGAGCTCATGCCTCCGGTGCTCCTATGCCCGGTGCCCCTGCTCCTGCTCCTGCTCCTGCTCCTGCTCCTGCTCCTGCTCCTGTCGCTCCTGCCCCTGCTGCTCACCCACCGTCTACCTTGGAGTCTTCACAGCATCACGGTTTGGACCTCGCTCTTTCCGCACCTGCAGAAGCAGCAGCTGTTCCTGTTCCTGCTCCTGCTACTACGCCCGCAGCTGCAACTGCCAACCCGCTCGCACACCAACCAGCGCCACCCCTGAACGCGCACTCGCAACGTGCATTTGGGTCGGCGCAGAGGAGGCGGCAGAGGGCGGTGGAGCAGCAGGCCAAGGAGCTCTGCAGCGGGCTCTTCTCCCCGTACGGGCGGCAGGCCGTGTCTGGTAGCGGCGCTAGTAGCAAGCGATCAGACGGTCCTCCTCCTCCCCTTCCTCCCCCTCATGTTACTGCCGCTGCCGCCGCCGCTGCTGCTGATGCTGCCGCTTCTCCCTCTCCTAGTGCATCTGCCTCAGCAGCAGCGAGCAGTGGTCGCATGGCCAAAGACACAGCAGCACCCAAGGAAGCATCAGGATCAGGGCATAAGGGCAAAGCAGCACGTGCAGGCACGTCGGTGTGGCTGGGAACCCCTCTGGCTGCTGGCATGGGGGCGAAGATCGCCGTGGGCGGCAGGGGCAGCGCCAGTGCTGTTTACCGCGAGCTGTCCTCCCGCTGTGGGTCCTCTGGGGGATGGAAGAGCGGAGGGGAGGGGGGTGTGGGGGAGGAGGGGATGGAGGAAGGTGAGAGTGTGAGGGAGGGGTCGGTGGGTGGTGGAGTGGGGAAGAGAGTGAGGGAGGGCGAAGCAGGGGGGTATGCGGAGTGGAGTGCAAGGAATGTGGCTCAGACCGAGGCGAGCTCTGTGCCTTACTTCTGGTCCGGGGTTTACCGAACCTGTGGTTCAGGTTTGGCTGGTAGTGTTGGGTTGAGGGCTTGGCAGAAGGGCAGGGTGGATACAGCGAATCTGGTAAGGTCGCCCAAGGCTGCTGATGCTAGCACTGCCGCCGCTGCCACTGCTGCTGCTGCTATCGGCAGTGCTGCTGCCGCAGCTGCTTCCGCCGATGCCCCATCATCCTCTCCAGTTACTGCTGCCGCTGTAGCAGCAGCAGCAGCAGCAACAGCAGCTGGAATTGCCAAGGGTGGTGATTGCAGCATTGGTGCAGTCCCCACTGTTGGTGACCCAGCAGCCAACGGGAGCAGCAGCGCAGGGCAGGGCACAGAGATCAAGATTGAGATGGACGCGAACGGCTGTGATGATGCCGCGGCCACAGCCACAGCCTCTGGCGAAGAAGCATGGGAGGGGGCCTTGGATTCTGCTGTTGCAGCCAAGGTCGCCTCCCTCTCATCCCTCTTCTCCTCCCGCTATTCCTCGCCCCCGCAACCTCCCTCCCTCTCTCCCTCCCCCTCCCCTTTTCCCTTCCCCGTTCCCAAGTGTGGGCCAACTCGCCCCTCTGTGTCTGCCTGTGCGGGTCCCAGCCCTCAGCAGTACCACCTGTACCAGTTGCACCCGCACCAGCAGCACAGGCGAGGGAGACGGGGGGTGCCGATGCAGGAGGGATGGCAGCAGCAGTGGCAGCAGCAGCACGGGTCACTTGGACTGCAGTGGCAGCAGCAGCAGGGATGGCAGAAGCACCAGCAGCAAGGGTCAGTGGGGCGGCAGCAGTGGCGAAGCATGTCTGCTGCTCCGCTGGGGCGGATAGACGAGGAGAGGCAGGAGGAGGAAGAGGAGGAGCAGCAACTGCAGAGGCAAGAGCAGCAGCAGACGCAGCAGCGGCCGGAACAGCGGGAACAAGAGCAGGAGCAGGCACAGGAGAATGCGCAGCAAGAAGGGGAAGTGGAAGACCAGAGACCGCAGCAGCGTGCGGGGAAGGAACGAGTGGGATCAATGGCAGATGCTCCTGTCGCAGGCGCTGCTGCTTTAGGTGTTGTGACAGGAGCCGCAACAGGGACAGAGACAATGGGAGCAGTGGGTACAGATACCGCGGGGAGTGCATACACACGCACGTTCACTCACACGGGATGCACGTCAGGCAGCACATGGATGCAGGAGGGCGGGGAGGGCCCGCACATGGTGTCGCGACCACGGTCCAGGAGGAAGAAGATGGCCAAGCGCGAGTGAGAGTGATGTGTGGGGGGGTGAAGCATGTGCCTAGGGTTGCATGCACGTACCGTATCTGGTGAAGGATGCAGCAGACAGCAAGGTGTAGTGACAGGAATGGAGGAGAGATAATTGCGAGGCGCGGTTGATGGCGAGTGAATGGGTTGAGTGTTGTATCAGATTTACTGTATTAGTGCACGATTAATTCTTTCATTGCCTAGTTGCTGCACACAAGAGCTGCCAGGCTTTGGATTGTGTGTGTGGCTGAGCGAATCTGCACTTACCCTTTACGTACCGTATATAATGTTGGGCTGAGTGCACTTTAGGATCTTTGGTAGAGTTAAAGTCTGAGTAAAGTGATGTAGTAGCGGAAGCGTTTTAAGTAAGGCATTTGAACCACCTTGCGCTAGTATGTGAGGGCAAAGTAAGTTGATTAAAGCAAAGAGATACAAGAATATATATATATATATATATGAATACAGAGAATATGAAGGGACATTATAACTAATTTACTGTTGCGGTTCGATACAGTGCGACTCGGGCAACTGCTCAATGTCGAGTCAGTTGTGTGTCCTTGCTGTCGCGCTGCATTTGTCAGGTCAAAGGTCGCTGACCTTTGACTTTCACGTAACCTCCAGCGGTTACATCAACCTCCGAGGGTTGACTCGCTGGTGCCTCCATATGCGCTGCTTCGCTTGTGTCTTGGTGTTTCGACACGACAGAGGCGCTTAAGATTGTTTGTTCCCAACACTCCCCTTCGCTTCTGGAGTGTCACTGATGGTGACGTGGCTTTGTCCAGTCAGCAGCATGCAGTACTCGAACTTCTGTTTTCCGAGCTTCTTGGTCAAGTAGTCAGCTGCCATCTCGGACGTGGGACAGTAGGATAGTTCAAGTTTCCCCTTCTCGATCTCGTCTTTCACGAAAAAATATCGCAGAGCGATATGCTTCGTTCTGTTCGCGAATCCACTTTTGTTGGCGATGCGAATCACAGATTGGTTGTCGCAGAACAGAGTGAAGTTGGGTAACTCGGCTAGCTTCGCTTCTTCCAGCAGCTCGCGAAGATAGAGCCTTCCTTGGTGGCTGAGCAGAGTGCAATATATTCTGCTTCAGCTGACGAGAGAGCGATTAGTTCCTGCTTGCTCGATTGCCAGGAGATCGGTCCGATAGGTTCGAGGCGGTAGATGTAGCCAGTGCGGGAGCGCCTATTGTCTGAGTCGCCAGCGTGATCGGCGTCGACGTAGCCGATTAATTTCGTCGGTGTAGTTGTGTTCTTGTAGTAGGTCAGACCGATCGTAGAGGTACTGACGAAGTAGTGGAGAGCGCGGTCGAGCTCCGCCAAGTGTTCCGCTTCAGGTCTTTTGAGGTAGGTGGCGAGTTGGCTTGCGGAGTAGGATAGATCTGGGCGGCAGGTGACGGCTGCAAAGAGAAGGCAGCCCAGCTTTCTCTGGTAGTCACGTATCCCGGCGGATTTGAGTAGAGAGGATCCTTCATTGTGGTTTCCTGTCGTGTAGCGGTAGGGCGTAGAAATGGTGGTAGGTGTGAGCGCGAAGCGTTTGGCGATGGTGTCGGCGTACTTAGCGGCGTTGAGGTAGATCGCGCCTTCTTCTTCCCGAATGTTTAAGCCGAGATACTGTGTGACGCTAGAAGAGACCGTCAGTGTGAGGTCCTTCTGTAGCTCCCCTTCGAACCAGGTGGTGATGTCGTCAGTAGAGCCGATGTAGAGTAATTCGTCTACGTGGACGATCAACAGAATGTAGTCGGTGTCTTTGGTGAGTCGGTACATCCCTTGGTCGTGAGGCAGTTGACGGAATCCGATGCGAGTGAGGCGAGCGTGTAGGTACTGTTGCCATAGCCGCGGAGCTTGCTTGATCCCGTAGAGTGATTTCAGCTGTTTATAGACTTGGTTCGGTTCCCCGTGGGTACCATGTGGGAGCTCGACGAAGATTTCCGCGTCGACAGGTGCGTAGAGGAACGCGTTGGCAACATCGATTTGCCGTAGCTTCTCCTTCTTCATAGCGGCGATCGCGAGGAGAATTCGAAGTGAGGTATGTCGGCTGACCGGGGCGAATGTCTCGGTGAAGTCCCGTCCGTGCTCCTGATCGAATCCACGCACAACCCAGCGTGCTTTGAATTTCTCAATTTTGCCGTCTGCTTTCGTTTTAATGCGGAAGACCCATTTCCCGGTGAGAATGGTCTTATTCCTTGCCACGCTGATGGGGACAATTTTCCAGGTGTTCCGTTCCTCCAGCGTCTTTAACTCTCTGTCCATGGCTTCACGCCATTTTTCCCTGTGTTCCCCCCCCAGAGCCTGCTGAACCGTCGCAGGCTCCTTAGGTAGAGAGGTGCCGTGGACTGCGGTGACGAGGCCGAGAATCTGCAATCCAGTCTGTGAGTAGCGGGGAAGAGTTGTGTCCTCGGGATAAGCTGCTTCGTCTCCCGCTTCTGGGTCGGGTATGAAATTCGGCCCTATCCGTTCTGCTTCGTGGGTGTTGGCTGTCGCAGGTGTTACGTAACCGTTGTCGGCGAAGTGGTAGAAGACTTCGGCGTTGGCGCTTTCGCGAGGGTTGTCTTCGTCCATGGGGACGTTGACGGAGCAAAACGGGAGAGGTCCGGCTTCTTCTGATGCGTTGTCCACATTCTGCTCGTCCCAGTCTGCTTCGTCCGCTGCTGAGGCGAAGGCTCGGTCACCACGAAAGCCACCTGTGGGATCTTCATTGTCGTGCAAGTTGGCAAGGTACGTCTGAAGCGTGAGTCATTCGTAGAAAATTACGTCACGTGCTGCTACTGTTTCCTTGGAGTGGACGTCGAAGATTTTCCACGCGTTGTAGTTCTTTTCGATGCCGAGGTGCAGTCCCCACTGTGCGCGTTGTGAAAATCTTCCCGCTCGTGCTTCTGGGGGTTGGTACTGTACCATGTACCCGAAAACTCGTAACATTTTTGTGCTGCCCTGTTTCCCTGTCCACAGCAGATGCGGTGACGCGTTGTTCGGAAGTGAAGACGACGACATCAAGTTGTGCAGCATGACGGCGTGGTCCATTGCTGCAGGCCACTGGTGGTTGGGTAACCGCATGCCACATAACAGTTTGCGCATGCTGTTCTGCAGAGTCCTGTTCATTCTTTCTGCCACACCTTGCTGCTGATGGGCGTAGGGAAGAGAGAGGAGCTGCTTGATTCCCCTTTCCGCCAGGTACTGCTTGAATCGCTGAGAAGTGTATTCTCCCCCTCCGTCTGACTGGAAGCTTTTCAGTTGTGCGCCCGACTCTCTCTCTGCTACTGGTAGCCAGGCAGCGAAGGCTGCGAGTGCCATGTCGCGGCTGGGCAGGTTTAGGTGCCAGACGTAACGGGTGGCGGCATCGATGAAGGTGATCGTGTAGTTGTATGTAACTTGTCCTGGTTCTCGATTGAAAAGGATATCGCTGTACACCTTCTCGAGTGGTGCGTACGCGGGTGCGCTCGGGTTGTGATGAGGAATGAACGGCCGATGTGGTAAGTCGGCTTCGGGGCAGGTAAGACAAGTTCCTCGTGCTCGTTGAAGTTCTTTGCCGTCGAGTAGTAGTAATGAGTCCTTGTCAAGGACTCCTGCTCTTATTGTGTTGTTTAACACAGTGTTGCTTGGGTGTCCCATGCGTGCGTGCCAGATGTCTTCGGAGGCGCGGTGTCCGGGTGAGCGTTGATACGCGTCGGAGTTGGAGTAGAAGGTGGCGATGAAGTTTGCGCTTCTGTGGACTTCCCGTTGAGTCGGATTCAGCCGCTGTGTGGGTGTTGGTGGTGCTTCGTCAACGAGGACTGGTGTCGTTGTTCCTGCTGTTGCCGACGATGTTTCTGCTGCTGCCGATGTTGTCTCTGCTGCTGCTTCTGCTGCTGCCGATGTTGTCTCTGCTGCTGCCGAATGTTGTATTGTTACTAACGCACGTGTTCGTTCTGCTTCAGGAATGGTATGTGAATACCAGAAGCCTTCCGGACTGAAGTCAGGGTCGAGATCCGGCGGGTGCGTCCGGAATGTGAAGGTGACGATCCCGTCACTGTCTGCGGTGCCCAGGTCTGGGACGAAGTCGAGGACGAAGACATTGTTCTTCAGAATCGCCTTTCCGATGTAGAGGCCGCCCTTCCCGTGGTACAGTTTGAACTCCTGGGTGGTACTGTCGGCTTCCAGATGTATGCCTTTCGCCATCAACTGACTGACGCTCAGTAAGTTGTAACCAAGTCCTTCTGCTATCAGGACTTTTGACATTTGCAGTACGACATTCGTCTCTCGTGACTGAAGTTGCACTACCCCTTGTCGTCGTGTGCGCAGGTTCTAGTTATTGGCGACAGTGATGACGACTTCTCGTTGAAGTTGGTGCTCGCGTTGAACGAAACGTCCTTTGGAACACATGTGTTGTCCGCAGCAACTGTCCAAGAACCATGTATCCTTTCCGGACGGCTCGCTTTGGGCGATGGCGGCGTACGTCGGGTTTGGTTGAAGTGACTCGCGGCGAGGGGTATTGTTGTCGAGTTGTTCTTCTGGTGAGTAATATGGTGGTGACTCAGTTGTGCAGGAGTCACTCAGCCTTGCCATGCAGCTGACGATGTTTCTTGTTTCTTTTGCAGGTTGTCCCGTTGATGTTGTTGGGACGTGGACTGAAGTTGTCGGGTTTGCTTGCGTTGAAGTGACTTGACTGCTTGAAGGGCGAAGTTGGCGTTGTCGATTTGGGCAGTGCGTACGAGGATGCCCTGAAGTCTTGCAAAGGTGGCAGAACGGAGGTATGAATTTCGGTCGATTGTTGTTGTTGTAGCGCCGTTGAGTGTGAAACGCGAATTCGGGCACTTACACCTTTCTCCTTTGTCGTTCTTCTTGCAGGTCCATGTCTTGCTGTTCCGCGTGGATTTCGGCGCAAAGTGCCGCTTCAGAGATTTTCCCGTGGGCTCGTAGCATGGCGCGAGTGGAGCGCCAGTGAGGACCAAGACCGCCGATGACAACCGTGACGAAGGCGTCCTCTGAAATCGATCCTCCACATCGAAGAAGCTTGTCGCGCAGCTCG